GGCTACTAAAGGAAAGAGAGTGTCCATCAATGTCCACCAACATTTCTCTTCCACTTTTACCTCGAAGGGCAAGCACATTAGGTTCACATATTCCTGATGAAAATGAAGATGAAGAAGGCCTTGGTCATGGTCTATACCTTAGAGATGTTCTGTTGAAGATGTCATTGTTGCTGGATCTTATGTCGGCTCAGATGAGTTATCACAATCAGATGAGTTATAGGTTTATGGGGGAGCACCTATATGGGTTTAATATGCAAGTGTTGTGGGGGAGTTTCTTATCTGTTGAATCTTGAACAGTGTTGTTGAAGTTGAAACTTCTTTTTATTTGGGTGTTTAATGGAATTATCCTTTCTACACTTGTTTTTGTTGTTGTTCTTTTATGCCTACTTAGAACTTCTGAGCTTAATTTGCTAAATATTTGCCTTATTTGGTACCGAGAATTGTACCTGTTTAAATTTTTTTTGTGTTCGAAATTGCATTGTCTCTTCAATGTTATTCCTCACCTGTTCTTTTCTGTTTGTCACTTTCTTCCTTTGTCTTACCATGACAAAATGGGGGAGAGAAATATCAACCAATTTAAAATTTGTAAAAATGCATCTTTTTCAATTGTGTTTTGGAATATACACATGTTGGTATCACTTCAGCTTACTATGTTGTTTTAATCTCATAACCCATGATGAACCTCACTTGTCACTTGTTGAGAAATATGTGTTGTTGTAGGAGTTGTTACTTGCTCCCCTCTTGTCTTAGCTTGGTTTCTTGAGTAAGGGTGATGTGTGTGTTAGTTATAGGTTTGGGGTTATTTTGTCAAGGAAATCCAAAGGGGGAGATTGTTAAATACTAGTTTTATTGTTTGGCTTCCTTTGTCAAATCTTGTATTTGGTACCACACATGCTCATAGTTTAGAGTAAAGGTTCAATGTTGAGGTTTGAATCATACATTTGCATATGCATGTTAAGCTTATTTTTTTTCATAATCCTTTTGTCTAGTGTAGTTGTCTAGTTAGAATTTTCATCTGTCTTCCAACTATCTAGGCACGTAAAATAAGACAGCCCATATGGGCCATCTAGACACCTTTTCATGTGCAGTGGATCTCTTACCCTTGATCTGGGAAGGTCTTTTTGGCTCATGACATGTGTCTCTTTGTTCCCCTTGTCTTAAACATTTATCTCCTCCATTATAAGGGTTTTAAGGGTTTCATTTGTTCCTTGGTTAGGATTTTCACATTTTCAAGAAAAGAGTGCATTTAGCCTAGAGCTACCTCTTATGCTTCAAACCAATACCCTAGCTACAAAACCATCTAATGCCCAAACACCCAATCATTGCATATTAGGGTTGCATTGTTTTAATGATTTTGCATTGACTTTTTGGTCTAAACCTAAGTTTTTCATATCCTTCATAAACCAATCTCTCATATTCATGTTAGGTTCTTCTTCAATTGTTTGACTGAAGAACCTAACTGGTCAGTTGAATCTAAATCTCTTGCACATATCATAAAATCATATCACATCATTGATCATGTTGGTCTCGGTGCCACAAGGTGATGAGCTCAGGAGGAGCTTCCACTTCATGAAGACCGAAGGAGTTCGTCTCGTGTTAGACAAGGTTGCACAAAGGTAAAGCTGCTCCTTAGATAGGGGTTCTAGGAATTGAGCTTTGTGTGGATCTTTGTATGAACCTTTGTTTACACTAGTGGATTGGACTCAATGGACAGTCTTCGGTTTTTTAACCTAGAGGTGGGTTTTTCCAGCCAAAAACTTCCTTGTGTTCAATACTTTACAAAGCCTTATTTATAACCTTGTTGGAACTGAACATTGAATGGTTTGCTAGTATTGACAATTTATTAATCAAGTGAACTTAACTTAAGTATTAAGACTAAAACTTAACTGAAGTTCACATTGTTAAGTTTTAAGCTTTTAAGTTTGTTTGATCTATATGCTTGTGGGATTCTAACAATTACAATCTATACTCAATTGACTAGTAGGTTGGCTAGTCAGTACAATGGTTTTTAAGTATATTGTAGAGTAGTCAACCTGGTACCAATTTTAGATTAGAAGTTTGTTAAGTAATTTTATTTTAATAAATAGTTGTAATGCTTTATACCAATCAATTATGTATTAATTTTGTGATACTTCTCAAAATTGAAAGTCGGAATCCTTACCGTAGTTAAAAGAAGAAAAGTGTGATGAGAACTAGCTTTGGACCTTAGATATTCCAATGGTGCATAAACGACCCAACCCTTGCTTGCATCTCTGTTTATCATGGACCTCTCAATTTAAGACCAAGTCGGATAAATGGCCCTGTAATCATAAAGTACATAGAAGATGGTCTCTGTAGTAAAAAAAAAAAGATTGGAATTAAACCTTATGGTGAAGTTTATTAGGATTCATACCTAAAATTGAAACTTTTAAGCTTTTCTCTCATAATAGATTGCACAAGCCTCACGTGTGAGATTAAGATGGTCATTTCATCTCTTCCATTCAGTGTTCATAACCAAAACTCTCATTCATAGTTGCTCCCCATTCCAAACCAAAGAAATCCCGAACTGAAATCGAATATAGGTGCAGGAACTGAATTCTTCAACTGAAATCACAGAGTCGTACAATGAAATGACGAAACTACAATCAACTGTGTTAGGATTCATTGCTAGAAATCTAAGGTATGGGGTTTTTTGTTTTGGCTTTTGATTGATGCTTTAATTCTAGTCATGAATCTAAAAAACTTCACCACAAATGTTTAGTTCTAAATTTTATTACCATTGGTGTTATCTTCCAAATACTTTATATGACAAGGAGATCCATTTATCCGATTCGGCCCTTAATTAAATGGACAATTTCTTTGTCAAAGATTTTTTTTTTTTTTTTTTTAGTTTAATACAAATGATGTCGGGGAACAGTTTAACCAACTGAGCTCTAATACCGCCCCTTTTTGTCAATCAGTTGAATGAAATTAAAGTTCTAATATTTTGGCAGAGTTGTCACAAGTTCCTTCATTATGCAAAGAGGTGGAGTTGATCAATGTCTATAAGAGTACATTGCCAGAGTCTGATATTCTACTTTGACATTTTTAGTCAGTACGAATAACTAAATGTTCTTTTTTGGACAAATAAGTTCTTCTACTACTGCTGGTTCTAAAAATTCATGTGGCATGTGATGGACTTTATATGTTTTCACCAAAAACATTTATATTGAAATTGTAATCTGCTAAAAAGTAGAAAAACAGTGAAGGGTAGGTCCAACTTCAATCATGATGTATAGAAAAAGGTCAATGATCACACTAATTAATTATATCTTAAATGGTAATACCACACCTACCAAGGCTACCATCTTAGTTAAATAGTGAAGAGGCACCATGTGATCCCTAGTACCCATCAATCTCCATCCACCCCACCTACACTTGCACTCCCCTCTTGACAAGCTCTTAAATGGTGCCACAAAACCAATATTGGTCACTCTCTTTGCCACTGCAAAACTTTCTTTGGTCACTTTGGTACGTTATTTTTAAGTTTAAGGTAAACTATTTGACACATGTAAAAGGATTTATATGATCTTTTATTATGGTACGGCAAAAAATTGCAAAAAGCTAGATCGACATCAATTTTATCTGAATTTACCTATTTTAACCTCAGCTTGGCGTAAATCGTCATTCCAACAGCTCGAGTCAAGTTGTTAGACCAAGGTACTTTGTCACCCTAATTCCGTCACTAGGTCAGTCAATTGACTCAAGTGCATTCACATTTCAAAGAATGTTTTGACGAGTTGATCGAAATATAATCCAAACCTTGTTTACGCTAACATAAAACAAATTATGTATTAATTCTACATTAACTATCAAGTTTACAATTCGTTTCACACTCATCGGTTTATCCCAAATAGACCTGGCAATTTCTTATACGATCCGTTAACACAACACGTAAACGACACCAAAATAATAGGTTTCGGGTCAACACGATAACTAATCGGGTCATTATCGGGTCACACGATAATAACCCGTTAATAACGGGTCTTTAACAAGTTTACACGAGAGTGATACGCGAGTAACCTTGTTTTGACACGATAAAAAAAAGTTATTTTGATGATTTTAATTTTTTAAACTACTAAAAAAACTTACTATAATATACAATATATATAATGAATATGTATATATTGTTTATTAATTATTATTCTATATAAAATATAAAATTTAAGTTTTATTTATTTATTTATTTTATAATATATTATAGTTAAAGATTGAGATTAAAAATTATAAAACACATTAAAAATAAAAATATCAAGTAATTTAAAAATACCAAACACATTAAAAAATTATAATAATTAATTTACATGTGCAAAAAATATGAAAAAAAATATGCAAATGCTCGTAGTCGCATCCTGTCCTCTTTGAGGATGGGTATATGATAATTTGAATTTTCAAAACCATACAAACTCTCATGAATAGTATTTTAAAGAAGTTCAAAATAAACAAAATTCATAATCATAATGTATAAGTGTGAAAGATGTGAAAGCATAATAAACGTTCATAATTGCATCTTCAACGTTTGGACGATGGTTACATGGTCGTTTAGATTTTTAAAACCCTCCAAATCTCATGAACATTGTTTTTTATTTGAGTGCAAAATTAATAAAATTAATAATAATTATTGTAGAAATATGAAAAATGCAATCACTCATAATAAAAAGCTTTACAACTTTCATAAAGGGATCAACTCCAAAATTTAGTATGTATATACTAATTTAGTGTTGTGTTTTACATTTTTTTTGGGTCAAATTATGTTTTTCATATTCATTTTTATTGATTTAAAATATATTTTTGTTAACGGGTAACATGTCGGGTCATATTACCTGATAATATTAACGGATTGATTTCGGATCGAGTCATATTACCTGTTTACTTTAACAGGTATTACACGACACGATCCGTTAAGCTATCGGGTATGACACGAAAATGATATGAACACGAAAAACACGACACGAATGCCAGGTCTAATGCAAATGATCACATATAAAGCTGATTAGCCCCATTGCCATTACTTGAATTAAACAATACAAAGATGTTTCCTTACGTAAACGGCCCATGTGGTGGGTGGACCCACGAAAACTATAAAATTGGATTCCAAAAGACTTGCTTTCAATTTCTTAATTGACATGTACACCTTCCAACTATCAATAACAATTATGCATTATTGCATCTTTCTTCACAATTGAGAGAATTTATAGTTTTTATTTTCTTTTTTTTTGGGACCCAAAACCCAAAAGGAACATCTTTTTATCTTCTTCCTATACCCCAATACCAATATACCCCATTTATATTCATTTGACATCCATGTCCCCCAAATTCCAATGGCTTTCTAGTTTGCACCCTTCACTTTCTTGGACAAAGGGACTGCAATACTGGGCTGGAAACAAAGTAATGCTACACTTATCATCTATTTGTATCATCATTTGCACTATCTCTCTAATAGAGGTAGAGCCCGTCAACATATGCAGATCTTATTTCTATTAGAGAGATGATACAAATAATGTTACAACTAGATGGTAAGAATAACATTTTTGTTAACAATAATATGGTTGAAGTTGGAAGGGAGGGCATTTGTGCAAATTAGGAGCCAAAGGGTGCCCTATGAGGAATGCCTTTTCTTCTTCTTGTTGTGGAAGGAGGTGGAGGCGGCGTGGGCGGGCATATGTCTTGTTGTGAGCCTTCACGCAACTCTTCTCTTCCCCCCATTGCCTCCTCATTCTTTGCCTCTAAGGTAAAGTTTGCATCCCCATTTCTATTTATTCCCGCAAGCTTCAACATTGCCAAAAGCAACAACAAAAATTAAGAAAGATGCTAACTTTTATTTATAAAATTACATTCCATCACCAATCTAAAGGGGTCATGATCTTCACATTCCCGTTTATTGTTTCCACCGTGTGTTCCAGTTCCTTGATTTTTCTCAGATTTATTCAATCTAATGGCTAAGAAACTTGAACTTGAGCTGTAGGAACAACGGAAGTGCGAAAATCACTTCTTATTGAGAAAACCCAATTTAATGAAAGTGAGAAAATGTGGTGGCTCATGATAATGATCATTGTCAATGGTGGGTAAATGATGGTGATGGTGATGGAAATTAGAGAAATGTGGGAATATATTTATGAGCACAATGTGAAGCAAAACAAGCAAGCCAAAGGGGTTATTTGAATTTCATTTTTCATAAAAAATAAAATAAAGCAAAGTGAATGAAATACTGACCTTGCAGCCGAGTGAGCAGAAACGAACAGGGTCCAAGAGGCTTCTGCCACAGGTTTCACAAATGTGGGAAGCTCCTTTACTCCCAGCCTTAGGCTGAGGCCTCTCATTCAGAAACATAACTCTGGCGCTGTTTATGACATATGTCTGAACTCCGGTTATGTCCAATACCTTCTGAACTTCTGAAACCCTCACCACATCATGGTATGAAGATCTCCTTATCTGTAAAATCCCACCAAAAAATTTAAGAAATTTGTCCAAAAAACAACAATGCTAAGAAAAAGATGGGGAATCTTTTGGGTTTTCGTTTCGACAATGCGATACATTAAACTACTCTAACGGAGAAGAGGGAAGAGGGATTCGAACTTGAAACTTGGTGTCAGGGATAAAGGCACTGTTCTGACCAACTAACCTAACTCGAAAAAAATTTGGTGAGTTAGAGGAAGAGGGTTGGTGGAAAACTTAATTGGGATTTTACCTGAATCACTTGGTGATCTTTGTGTCTGGAGGACCGGCAATAAAAGCAGAAAGCATCTCCACTGCAATCTAAGCAGAACATGTTGGACTCACTTCTGGCGGCGTCTCCATGTGTACGGCAGACTCTGAAGAATGATGTGGTGAGCAATTGTTCTAGCCATGGAGGCACCAGCATTGTCCTGTCCTGTTAAATTTACGAAACCCAAAAGTCAAAACGGATGAAAAATGGGCGAAATTAGAAAATAAGGACAAAATGGGGTGCGTTTTTCAGAAAGAAAGACAAGAACGTTACCATTTGTGTGCAAGCGAGTATCTGGAAGAATGTGATGCCTTTGCTTCGACTGGACCTTCAATGGCGGAAGCGGTGAAATTTGCAGGCTCAGAGGACTTGCAGGGGGAAAATGCAGAGAGAGAGAGAAGGGGGGGGGGGGAGAGAGAGAGAGAGGGGAGAGCCTAAACGACCTGCAACTTTAGACTTCAACAACAAAACAACGCTTAGACGAGGGGACAAGGCTCATAAACTAATGTGAAAGAGCAATTAGAGATTGGACGGCTGCGATTGGGCGTGGTGGCTGAAGTGAAGGGATAGCTGTCGGATGAGTTTGAGAGAGATGGGTAGGTTTGGCGCTTACGCTACTTTGGATCTTCTTTGCGTCTCTACGTAGTCTCGAGGTCGCCCACTTGGCTACGCATAAGCTAATTAGTTGTTCATCAAAGTATCTTACGGCCCTTATTTCACTCCACGTGTCATGTTTTCCACGTGGCTCAACAAGGTCGGTCCAATAATCATAGGAATTACCAATTAATTGATGAGGTTTAAGAGGGTAAATGGCGAAGAAATTGATGGTTTTAACATTTTGAATTTGTTTTCAAAGGGGCGCAACGTAATTGTACCATTGAAATTTCTCACTTCTAAAAATACGTTTTATTTATTTTCATAATAATCTTCTTTAAAAGTTAGTTGAACATGTTTCGTTGTTCAACAATCAATTTGTTGTTAGTCACGTAGTATTTGAACAAGATGTAGTGAGTGTTAATGGAGGCGATATTTCATGAAAACTGTAGGTAATGGAACGGCGTGGGATAGATTAGCAATGTTTGTTTTATGTCATGCTCTATTAAATGGTTCGAGATGTGTTTTATATTGTTCAAAATACTTTCTTAATTGCTGATTGTAGTCGGAGTCAAGTTTTATGTCCCTTGCATTCTGAAACTTCCAAATTAATAAAGTTTTGCTCATATCGCTGATGTTCTTAAAGAACACAAGTATCAAAGAAAAAAACATGTTACAATTTAGGAACATGTTGATTTATTTAAAAGGGAACGCATGTGTGGAACATTAGTATCATATTAAGATAAAGCACAAAAGAAGGAGCACTATTAGAATGCTATCTTGATAGTCATTGATATTGCCAAATAAAATTTATAGCCATGGCTTGTTTTCATTTTTCTATTCTTTCTTTTTTTTTTTTTTTTTTTTTTTTTTAAGGAGACCAACTGGTGGTTTCGTCATAGTTTCCACTCTTCCGGGAGCTAGGAAGACTTATATAGACATTTCAGCCTCCTCCTGGGCAACATCATATGATTCACCAGTATCAGGAATTGAACTCATAACGTGTTGTGTGAAATATGGATCTGAAATTCGTCCCTAACCATTAGACCATCCTATAATGGTTTATAAGGGAATTAGATCCTCTCCGGATCTTCTCATTGGGGATCCAAGGGATCAAGATCGTACGGCTACAATTAAATACTTTTTATATTTTTAAAAGTAAAACAGTCTCGTTTTATGTGAAATATATTAAAAAAGAAAACAATTATAGTCGCACAATCTTTGATGAACGGTTGTTATTAATTAATCCCCGAAATCTTCAATGAGAGAATCCGGAGAGGATCTAATTCCGTTTATAGCCATGGCTTGTTGACCATTCTCAATATGTAATAAACAAGATTAGTTTGCTGACGTTTTAAATGGTCACGGAAGGAAAGCTCATTACAATTACATGCATAATTTTAGGCAGCAAGTCACGTCGAAAGGGATTTTAATAATACGTTGATTACACCAAGAATGAGTTATTTCAAATCTTGTTTATATTTTTTTATTAATATTTTTTAAAAATAAATTAACTTATATAAAAGTACGACTATTAAGCCGGCATACATATGGATTCCAGCACTGAGAAGAATTAATAAACAAGAGTCCATATTACTAGCCTCAATATAACACCCACAGACACACACACACACACACACACACACACACACATATAAGAGAAGATTTTTAAAATCATATCCTAGTGATCAAACAATTAGATATATTAGAACAGTTTTAAGACGTAACATCTTGCTTAGCACTTGCTCCACCAGGTGTTTATTGATATATCAATGCCAGACATAACTACGTATACTACATCCGACAAATTTAATTTCTTTAGAACAACTCTAATGATTGAGGATAAAGTTTAAAAATTTAAGCCAAAAAATTTTAAGCCATAACTAGAAATTGCTTTTCTCCTCCAATAGTTAATGCTTAAATTTTAGCCAATGGATTTAATTTTGGACCGTCGAATCTTTTTTTTACAGTTAAATTTGATCTCATCTTATCATAGTTGTTGGATTATAAGTAAAAAAAAGTTTGAAATATGATTGTTGGATCACCAGCGGTCAAATTATTTGGACCGTTGGATAAACCCTTCCAGCCCCATCAGCTCATAAAGAGTTGTTGCTAGTGTTGGACTTTATATATTTCATAAACAACTAAAAACACTAACCTGAAAGAATCCATAAATTATGCTCAATTGATAAAGTACTCAAAATCAACATGGCATGTAGGAAAGATGAATCATCTTTGACAAAACCTTGTGGAATATGCTCAACCATGGACTTCTCATTTGGGAAATCGTATTGGAATCCTACGAAATAATATGTTAGTTGACCAAAGTCTTTTGTACACTCAACACTCCTTTATACTCGAACTAATGAAGCGTTCATATGAGTTTCTGTGTATTGTGAACAGGGACCTTAGCCTTGTATTTATATGGATTTAACCTTAATGAATCTTCCCATAATAATGTCATTAGGATTCCTTGCAGTCCAAGGATAATTGATACACCAAATCTCATTCCAAATAGGATAGAATTAGGAGCCTTTATTCCCCAATGAAATCCGGAATATATTAACTTTACTTGGGGTACAAGCTATACCTATTAATTAAATCCTAATCCTATTTATATTCCAAGCAATCCTTGAATTAACTATGTAGACCTATTAGTCGTTGGATTATGATCCAACATCCAACATCTAGTGGCACACAAACTTTGTCCACATGGACCCTGCCATGTTATATCTGGCATATGGCATGAGTGTGGCAAGTTGGTCTGTGCTTTGAGCTTCAATCGCGCAGCCCACGCATGCTAGAGATGGTTTGGTAGGTCTAGAAAGAACGGGGGAATCTAGTCCAGAAATTTATTTTCTCCCCAAGACTTATTTTGGACCGATGGTTAGAGATGTTTTGGTGGGGTTTAAAGCTTAAATCTTAAGCTTTATCCTAACATTGTAGATGGTCTTAGTGTTAGGCGCATAACAACTAAGATATAGATCTTAGCCTTCCACAGTGGTTTAGGTGAGTGTGATACCTATATATAAGGATCAGGTATCTTGAGTTTCATCTCTATAATACTATTGCTACACTAGTGTGAGTTTAATATCTTGGTACCACACTCATGAGTTTGATATATTGAACTCGGGATTGAACTCATGAGCAATAAATTAGTATCACACTCACTGTTTATGGCCTACTATGGAAGACCTTAAGAGGGCTTTAATTTTATAGTAATTTTGTAATACAAGTGATATTAAAACAGAAGAGAGAGTCAAAAGTGAAGAGAATTAGACGCATGACTTGGTATGCAAAGAATAGAACCCTTAAACTTCACGCCTCTACAAGTTGATTTTGGTTAGTGAAATAATCGCAGCCGTTTATATCGACAATACATCACTGCAAAAAAGGCATTTCCAGACAATACATCACTAAAACTTTTGCTCGAAGTCTTACCTGACGAAATAAAGTTAGTTGTCAATCAAAGCTGAGTTTGCCCGATGAAAGACGTCATCGGGTAAAGGTGTGTTTATCGCCTTTACCTGACGAAAATATTTTACCTTACAACAACGCTGTGTTGCCCCACATTTTTGTAAATACTATTAAAAACGTGACCTGATGAGATTTTCGTCAGACAACTGTTTAAAACCAAACATAAAAAAATAATATAAAGTCTGCTCGACGAAATAATTCGTCAGGTATACTTTTTAAGAATATTAGGTATTAAAACAATATTTAATATAAATAATTTATGTAATTCCAATTATATGAATTTAAAAAGCTAAATTAATGATAACTTTAATTTAAAATTTATTTAAATTACTTTCAAAATAAATTGTTTGAACAATTATGCAAAAATTAAAAAAAAATAAATAAATAAATTATGCAAAAATTTATTTAAATTATTTCAAAACTAATTAGCCTAAACTATTCGAGCGGTTGCTGAGGTGACTGGGGGAGTGGCCCCCTGAAGGTCGCTTGGGGGCTCAAGAATGCGAATGTCAGAAGCTGATATTGCTTGGGCTATCCCAACAATGTACATGTGCACTTCTTCTTGCTCGTGTGTAACAACTTCTCACTCACGAGCAACTTCTTCTCTCAAGTCTGCCGCTTCTACTTTTTGGCGCTTAGCTTCTTCTTTTTGGCACACTAGTTCCATCTCCACCTAATACAGTTTGGAAAACGTCTTGGTCGAAGGAAGAGAGCTTGATGAAGAACAACACCCTCTAAGGTTGTCCATCAACAACTGTAAAAACACCTATGAATCAGGTGTCAACCCCTCCATAGACACGTTCAATTGTTGCTAAGAAAGGTTAGTGGGGTAATTGTTCTTCTTCTACGCCATAGAAGTCTACAAATAAAAAAATAAAATAAAACAAGAGAAACCAATTAAAATTATCGAACATAATTTAAACCTTTTTTTTTATTGTAATGAAATTTAAATTTAAAACATAAAATGAAATACTTACATAAATGTTGTTCGCAACCTGGTTGCCATAATTGGCATGCGTTTCCCCCCCTAAACCTCCACTTCCGGGAAATGTCATCACTCGTTTGCCATTCCTCGACCTTGTTAGATAGGTGTTAGAACCAAATTCGTGCACTGCCGTAGAAGGTGGAGATGCATAAATCCAAGTTACCTGTAAAAAAAATGCCTTAAGCAAGCTAAAGACCAGTGGAGGGTGATCCAGTCAAAGGCTCTCCAATGGGCAAGTTAGTAAGTAATTTAAGACTCAAGTAGTGGGCAAGTGAATAAGTGTACAGAGATTGTGTTACCAGAGATGAACTTTAGAAGGGTGTATATATACTAGTCGAAGAGAAAATCGTTTAGGATAATAGAATCCTTATTAAACCGG